AAGCTGCTACCAGGGTTAGGGTTAGGGTTCTATAAGCTGCTACCAGGGCCAGGGCCAAGTTTAAATTTTTATATTGTACTCCATACTAAAATATAAGTATATTTATGAGTATATCACACCAATTAAATAACTTTTGAAGAGTTTGAGGTAATTCCAAAGGATTATTTTTGATTGAAAAACATCAAAATTTTTCTTAGTACCAAATACTCTCCTCACAAAAATTAGTATTTTTTAACTTCAAATTAAAACTTAACTCCTGATGTATACGATAGATATATACATATTTATACTACTTTCACTCAAATTAATGCTTAAAAGTACAATTATCTTAGATAAAAGTATCAATAGTTACGACTGTCTCATAATAACTCAACTTTTTATAGTTCAATCCTAACTGGTCGGGAGTTCGATTCCCAATTACTACATTGATATATACATCAACGTGTTAGTGTATTGGGGTTCTATAAGCTGCTACCAGGGTTAGGGTTAGGGGTTAGGGTTAGGGGTTAGGGTTAGGGTTCTATAAGCTGCTACCAGGGCCAGGGCCAAGTTTAAATTTTTATATTGTACTCCATACTAAAATATAAGTATATTTATGAGTATATCACACCAATTAAATAACTTTTGAAGAGTTTGAGGTAATTCCAAAGGATTATTTTTCACCAAAAAAAACCAAAAATTTTCTAAGTATGAAAATCCTTGTTGTAATTCTATACCTAACTATTAATACCCCAAGTGTATATTTTAGTAAATATTATACTAAAACAACTACGCTATCAAATGAATTCACTTATAAACTGCATTTATAGATTCATTCACATCAAAAATTTGGTGGCCCTCTCCGTTTTCAGATTACTTGTTCAATTCTATAATGAACAAACAATGAACAAAAAATGAACAAATGGGACTAATCTGGCTTCTATATCACCAATACCAGGCTCCAAATTTGAAGTTGGTGTCAGTAGGTACTTATTTAGTTGCACTTTTTTGGTTTCGATCCCAAATTTGGAGGTTTACATTCCACATACCAAATCACTATCACAGAATGGTTTTTTATCGGACAGGTTGATCAGGTACAGGTTGGAAAAGTGTCTAGGTTGTCCGGTGACCTACATATATGCAAAGATTTGCTTGGCCCTAACTATAAAACGGACACTATGACCCTCATTCCGATACTGAAAAATCATGTGGTTATTATGGGGTAAATTCAGTTTTGGTGAAATATTGTACCACAATATACCAGAATGCGTATAAAACTTAGCCTAATATAGAATATATTCCTCATCTATCCTATACTACACCCTCACACTCAACAATAATATCTTCACCAATATTAACAACACACTCACCAACCAGATCGATTCTAGATAACACGAATCATCGCATCAACAACACCCCAACCGCTAGTGGTGTCACCCTATACGAATTCGGTTAACCATCGCACATGTGGTTCGTAAAAGAGTCTAACAGGTTCAATCAAGGAAAGCCACTCGCAAGAGTGACTTTAGTTTTTAGTTTTGATGGATTCGATCATACAGATACAGATAGATATTGAAGCCAGGGCTCCGAACCGTCATCTTGGTTCGGTTTGACAATACCAA